TTGTTTGATTCAAACCATTTCTAGTTTCAAGTTCATCTTCAATCAAATGATTTATCTTATCAGAATAAGCATTTTTTTAGTTCATCGATGCGCTTATATGAGGCAAGAACAACATTGATAATAAAGGATAACTTAAAAAAATTGATAAACAGGTATGACCTCTTTCGTTGCAGCTACTAGTGCCAACTGTAAACGATGGGCAAAACAATGCACATAGTAAGCAAAAGGACATTCATTGCTAACTAATGCTTGTAACTCATTCCACTTTCCTTGCATGTTACTTGCACCATCATAACTTTGACCTCGAATATTCTTTATGTCAAAGCAATAATGAGAAAGAATGGAAAATATCTCATCTTTTAAAGTCACTGCTGAAGTATTAGGAACATGAATAATGCTAAAAAAATGTTCCTTTACTAGACCGATATTATCAACATACCGTAAAATAATAGTCATTTGTTGTTTTCTTGATACATCCCTTGCTTCAGCAATAATAACACAAAAAACATTTCACCAATTTCTTCACGAATTGCTCTCTTAATTTTCTCTGCCAAATTATGTAAAATCTCCTTTTGTATCTCATGCGAAGTGTAAGAAGCATTTTTTGAAGCATTTTTTGGATCATTTTCTAATACAACTTTTTCAACATCTTTATTATAAGAGGCTAATTGTTTCACGGGTTCAAGAAAATTTCCTCGGTTAGACGAAGATTCACTCTCGTCACGACCTCTCATTGGTAGCCCTTGTAAAGATAGCCAACACAATGCATCTATAGAGGTTTCAAGTCTAAGCCTATTATTAGCAATTTGTAATGATGTTTGCTTATGCAACACTTGTGGCAAGTGTCTAGACTGGTTAAGAAAATCCTTCAATTCTTGCTCAACAATTTTATGAGGTGAATTAGGTTCTGAACCTACATGTATCTTAAAATAAAAAAAATTTCCATTTACTTTCTTCCAATTTCGAAACTAATTCATAGTGAAAATCTTGTGTAATGGATCACTATCTGATTTGTTAAAAAGAAAGCAAATAAAACAGAAGGCAACATCATTTTCAAGAGAATATTCTAACCATGAATGAAAGTTTTTGTACCAGGAAGCTTAAAATCGGTAAGGGTGAGAAACATGTCCAGATTTTTTGAATTCAAAGAGTACTGGTTGATATGAACCCTCAGCAATATAAGCTCTTCAAATTGCATTTCTTTCTTGTTCAGAAGGATATTCCCATATTTGCTTGTGCTTACCAGGATCTCGCTCCAAGTAATTAGAGTTAGTTATTGGTTTCTGATTTCTAGCTATATTTAAAGGTCTATCTTCCGAAAATGAAACGTTAGTAGGTGTATCAGTTGAAGTTTCAATTGTAGTACTTGTATTTTTTGAAGTTTCCCTGCTTTTTCTCTTAAAAACTCAATAATTGTTGTATTTTTCCCCATAGTAAGCTGCATTTATCTAAAATTAATTCACGACATTAAAAAAAACAAATTTAATAATCACCATTCACCTTAACAATTATTAGATTAACAAAAGGAATACTAAAATTAAATATAAAATCAAATAATTCTAATTAAAAAATAATAAATATAATATTATTTAATTTCATACCTTTAAAAATTAAGTATCGAACAATGGAGAATCATATTAAAGCAATATGTAGGAGCTTTAGGGTGATTAACTTAAGGTTTTTCTATCAAAGATTTTAATATGTTACTGTATTTATAAACCTTTTGTCAGCTTCTATTATATTAGTACTAGGGTAAAAAAAACATAAAATTAGAGCAGGTCTGGGGGCCCTTGAGCCCCAAGGACCTCTGTCTCTGGATATCTGCCTGAATCAGATGAAGGATTTCAATGGGCGGTATAGAAAGTCTCCTTCTTTGTTTAGGGATAGCTTTACGAGACGATCGACGCATATGTTGCTTTCTCTCCAGATATGTTTCAATTCCTTTACCCCTCCTTCCAGTAGAGCAATGCAATCTCTAACTACTTTCCTTTGTTGAAGATTTTTCGCCTCCTCTTTCGATAGGGCATCTATTGCTTCTTTAGCATCCACTTCCACTATCAAATTCTTCACCTTCAGAGCTTTTGCGATGGTAAATCCCTGTTTAATACCCTATAATTCTACCAATGAGTTTGTTGATCTTCTAATATTTATCATAATTATCATTTATAATGAGTCCTCCAACCACTTCGATTCCCGATAACCCTTTGGTGGCTTGACCCATTTCACCCATCTAGGCTTATATATTATGAAATAAAATTCGTTAACATATTATAAAACTTCCAAGGTTTATATATTTTCAGACTATTATATGAATTGAAAAATATAACCGAATTAACATTACAAAAGAAAAAATTTACGAGAAAATAATAAATAATCATTAATTTAAAAATGTATTCTCACGTATTAATATTACTTAATCTAGGAAAAAAACATAAAATTTTGAGAAAAAAAATTAGAATGTGTAACTATATCCAAACCCAACGGCTGAGCCACGGTTTGTTGCTCAAATTGAAATCTGAATTTTCTTCAATTAATTACTTCTTTTACTGATGGTATTCATCATGAAATCTGAGTTTCTTTGATTAGTTACTTATTTTACGAAATGTGTCTGTCTTAAAATTTTATTTGTACTCATCCCATTTAAAAATTTTATGTTGTTAATATATATTTTTCCATCTTGGAAAAATATTTCTGGATCAGCCAGTGTCTAAACATATTTATCATATATCACAATAAATACGAGGAGCAGATACTACCTCAGTGATAAAAGAATTATTATTATTCTTTTAATTTTCGAGCTTAAACATAAAAAATATTAGGAATGTGAGCGTTCAATATAAATAATTAAGAATTAACTTTAACTATATATTATGTTATACTTGCATATGTTAATAAAAAATAAATAAATACGAGGAACACTGAACAGAAAAAGAAGAATAGCCATTGGTGAATGGTGACGGGGGCCCCATCCCGTACTCTTGGATTGAACATTTCCGGAAAGCTTGACCTTTTGCCTTTCATTGTTCTCATTTCCTTTTCTGAATACCCAAACACTTCCATTTTCCCTATCTCATCCTTCCCCACCTTATAAAAGATTATTTAATCATTCATTTTTAAATGGATTTTATTTGTATTGGAATGAAGTATTATGTTGTTTGAAGTTGAAATATACGTTATTGATTTTAATTTTTAATAAACCAATTAACGTTTTTAATATTATTTATGTGATCAATTGATAAATTGCTTTCTTTTCCGCTGTCTATTTCAATTGGTGGGGGGCATTTTCTCATTTGTAGAGAGACTTATGTGAGATGAAGAATCATAGAAAAATTGCTTTTCGATTTGGTTAACGTGGGAAAAGTTGAGCGAGTAAAGAACTAAAGTTGATTTACGCGAAGGATGAATAAAAAGATGGATAAATTCTTGATTTAGTCATCCAATTATTTGTGTGGTTCTGTTTTGCTTATCCAATTATCTTTTTTCTCAAAATTTTACATAAACTTAACATTTTTTTTATTCCATTTTAGTCACATACCATTAAAAAATTAACGGTAATATTAACATATCATCATAAGATAATATCATATCATCATTGAATTTTTTTTAATATCATATTAGCAATTTTGTTTATTTTTAACAATAGAGGACCAAAGTGAAACAAAAACTTAAGTTTATATATGATTTTTTGAAGAAAAAATAATAGAGCAACCAAAATAGAACTACAAGAATAATCGGGTGACTAGATACATAATTTATCCTGAGAAGAAGGTTAAATATATATTAGATGTCATAAAATTATATTTAAATGATTATTTTATTATTAAACTTTTAAAATTTATAAAACGGTCATTAAATTTATCAAATTATTATAAAACAATCCTATAATATTTTAATAAATTACAAAAGTTCGATAAATAATAATTTTTTTTTAATTTTTTAATAAAATATAATGATAAGTTTCTTACTTTTGAAAAGAATATTATTTTATACTTTTAAAATTCAGTTACGAATATATGCATTTTGATACAAGTTTATATTTGTAAGTTTTAATAACTTTTGCGTTAATAATAATAATTTTTCATTTAATTAAGATGATTATAAAATAATATTTATTATAAATATTATCAACATTTTTTAATAACAAAATTTTTATCTATACATATTAAGACAAGTTTAATGTCAGATAAGAAATCATTTAAAAATAAATAAATAATTTAATTATGTTTATATTATACATTCAAAGTTGTTAGGTCAGTCATTTATACAGGCTACGTGTTGGCGTTATAAACCACATACATAAACGATAAATTATATTAAAATTCATTACTTTTTATATTTAAAACATTTTTTAAGTAAACATGTTTGATTAGAATTACTATCTTTGTTCTTTCGTAGTATTTTTTATTAATTATTTTTTGTAGTTTTTTAGATTATATATTGTTGACTCATTAAAAATATTCTCATTTTAAAAAAATATAATTCTTTTCCTTTTTAAACAAAATTAAAATTAAGATTTTACAAAATTATGGATTGTTTAACCATAAATATTTATATACTCACAATCATAATACTTAAACCTTAAATCTCAAAATATAAAAATAATAAAATATTAAATATTAAAATTACTTAATTCGAGCTAAACTTTATAGCTTTAGAGACAATGTATCGGGACATTTCAAAAGAAGCTAAAGATAGCTGAAGTTTCATTCGTTTAATTTTATACATGAAAAAAAACATCTAAGCCCTATGGGTTACAAAGCGAAGCACAAAAATTATATATATATATATATATATATATATATATATATACTCCATAAGCAAGTGGTAAGAAAGAGAAAATAATAAAAAAAACATATTTACCACTAAAGGATGAGAATGTGGATGGTTTTGGCTACAAGTTTTAACTCAAAATTGCCTCGTCTGTTCTGCATTGAGCAACTTGAGTTTTTTACATCATCTCTTCTCTAACCCTTTTCTTAGCTATTACTATCTTTTAGCTACCTCACAATTCTCCTACATTTCCAAAACCCTTCACTCATTTGTCTGTCTTCACTTTGTGCTTTCGAAGTGAAGGCATAGATAAAAAACATAGAGTTTTTTTTTCTTCTTCTTTAGTTTTCTTTCTGAGTTTTCTGGCCGTTCCTTTGTTTGGTGATGATATTTGTTTGAGTTTGTTGGTTTTTGGTCGAGATTATAAGCTGAGAACGGGGAAAAATGTGGGATCTTAATGACTCGCCGTATCAACAACCTAGAGATGATGAATCCAAGGGCTGTTGTTCGTCGCATAAGACTCCCGTAGACGGAGATCAAGACAAGGGAAAACGAGTCGGATCCGTGTCGAATTCGAGTTCTTCCGCTTTGGTGTACGAGGATGGATCGGAAGAAGATGATGGTGAGCGAGTTAAAGCGGGTTTAAAGAAGAGAAGTAGCAAGATTTTCGGTTTCTCGGTGCCTCACGAAGAAGAAGAGTGTTCAATGGAGAGTGACTCGGCTCCCGTGACTCACCAGTTCTTCCCTCTGGATCAGGACCATGAACTGGGTTCCTCTTCGGGTTTCCCGCAGGCTCACTGGGTCGGTGTCAGATTCTGCCGATCGGAGCCTATTGCACCGGAAAGATCCGGCGAAGCTTCGCACCCGATGAAGAAAAGCAGGAGAGGACCTAGGTCGAGAAGCTCTCAGTATAGAGGAGTTACCTTTTATAGAAGAACTGGCAGATGGGAGTCTCATATTTGGTCAGTTTTTTTCTTCTCATGAAATCGCAACAAAAAAACTGAAATTTTTCCTTTTATTTTTTACTATATGTAAGCCAATCAGAACATAAGGTGGTTTTGGGTTTGTCATTTGACGTACAGGGATTGTGGAAAACAAGTTTATTTAGGTATGAGTACTGTCCTTTCTTCGCATCAGTTTTATTAGTTTTCAGACAAATTTTCGTGTCTGATTTCTTTGTTTTCTTGGCCGAGTTAGGTGGATTTGACACAGCACATGCGGCTGCTCGGTGAGCTTTCGAGTCTCAACCTTTTCTTCTTTTATTACGCAAAGAATAACAATGGGAAAAAAATTAACGAAAACATAATATTTTTTGCAGTGCATACGATAGGGCAGCAATCAAGTTCCGGGGATTAGAAGCCGATATAAATTTTAGCATCGAAGATTACAAGGAAGACTTGAAACAGGTGATCTTAAAGACGGAAGTTGAAAGAATAATTGCATAGTTTATCTTATCTTGTGTTTCAAAAAGGTAAAGATTCTGTCTTTTTATTGCATAACAGATGAGTAACCTAACCAAGGAAGAATTAGTGCATGTTCTTCGCCGACAAAGCACCGGTTTTCCCAGAGGAAGCTCCAAATATAGAGGAGTTACTTTACACAAATGTGGGAGATGGGAAGCCAGAATGGGCCAATTTTTAGGCAAAAAGTAACCCTTTTAAAAAAATTCATAATCTTTTTATCTTAGCAAATAATATTTCGTATTGAGCTGTTCAATTTTCTTACAGGTATGTTTATTTAGGCTTGTTTGACACCGAGATTGAAGCTGCTAGGTTCGTGTATATTCTTTTATCTTTGATGCTTTAATTGAAAAACCAACTGTACTGTTTTAAGACTGTACTGTTTTAAGACTGTACTGTTTTAAGATAAGGCAGTAAAAAAAGTTTGTCTGGTCCATCATTATTGTAGGGCTTATGACAGAGCTGCAATTAAGTGCAATGGCAAAGACGCTGTCACTAACTTTGATCCCAGCATATACGAAAACGAGCTTAATAATTCTGGTGGTAAGTAAATCAAATATCATTCATTAATCATTATCCCTTCAAAAGGTTAAATCCGTTCTTCATGCTTCTTATTTGTGTTGAAGCTTCGGGTAACGCCGGAGATCACAACCTTGACTTAAGCTTAGGGAATTCAAACTCGAACAATATAAAACCGGGGGCTGATAGTCAAAGTGCTATGGTTTATCCGCATAATCTACCATCTGAAGCAACTGATTGGCAACATCAGGGATTTAGGTCTGAGGTGGGTATATTATTTTACAGTGGTGACTGGTTTCATTTTTGGTTGATCATACGGTTCAAAACCCATTTAAAATCTGCAGCGGGGACAATTTAGAACTGATGAAGCCCATCAACGAAGACCGGATGGATATATCGAGGAAGAAACAATGCAGCTGTTGAGTCGAACACACATTCAGTCTCCAACTACAACCAAGTATAATGGGCAGTTCCACATTATTCCTCCTTCGTCCACGTATCAGGTGTGTGTTTTGACTGATTGGACATTAAAATGACTTTCCTTTTAAAAAAAACATACTTGTGTGTGTGAATTATCAGATTCATTTTCCAAGAAGCAACAATGGAGGCCGCATTGGGAGTACTGAGCTTTCACTATCAAGCAGTGATAATCAACAGTGGCAATCAGGTCCTCACCAGTTGTTTGGAAATTCTGCAGCATCATCAGGATTCCCATCGCAGATTAGACCTTCTTCCCAAACTTGGCCTCACCAAAATTGCTTCCATTCACTCATCTAAAATTAAAAAGGCAGCCTACCCTCACTAACAAAATTATTGAATGTCTTTTTTTTTTATTACATCAACTTCCTGACTTTTTCGTGTTGTAACTTGTCTTTAATGGCGTTGTTTTGCAGCCTTATACAGTTGTACATATTGGTATTATTGGTATAATAACAAGACCCCGTTTTATATAAATGTCGAAACGTTATCAATATTAAAATTATTTTAATCTAAATTCTAAGGGGAAATTATGAATGGGGATGAATAGTCACCATCATTTATGTCCTTTGAATCAGTTCTCTCAAGCCAAAAGCAGTCAGACATGTGTGGTTATAATGACAAGATGGACTTTTGTCATCTTAACCCTTCCTCCCCACTCTACCCAATGCCATTTTACTTTAAAAAGGACATCTCGTAAGGGAAAGCAATCCAGGCAAGGGAGGCTAAATGTACTAAATTGAATTAAGATACAGGTGTGTTATATCAGTATGTTATTTGCATCATCAGTCTAATTTTTAATGACCTTTGGAATTAAGATAAAGGTACTAAACTGAATAAAATAAGAATTTCCTATTCGTCATCCGGGTCGTCATTCTTCAATATTTTTTATATCAGTCTGCATACTGAGGAGAGCATAGGGTTTTTCATTTAAAAAGGAAAAAGATTCTATATGGAGAAAGGTCAAGATATATTCTTTGGTTTAAGAACAGCAGAACTGGAATAAACCACGAAATATATATATGAATTCGAGATAGATTTATCAAATTTTGGTAGAGGAATATTCTAACCCTAAAACCATGGGGTTTATACTAGGTCATACATTATAAAAATAGATGAAAAGTGAAAACATTGGATTTAACTTTAAAGTGATAATACGAATGGTTGGTGAAGTGAATACAAATATAGTGAAACAAATCCTGTTGGCAAAATTCACGTACAAGAAGCAGGAGGAGGATGAAGAAGCATCAGTTTTAGGTTTCATGTCAGAATCTGAATCATAAATTTGCATGTGATGAGCTGCTAGGTTCCTGCTGCTCTATTATATTCATGTGTGTGTGAAATGGGTCCATTGAGAAACTAGCTCTCAAGCAAAGAATCATCCCCTTCAAGCTGCTCTTTCGATCCTTTCTGCTTTCCCTTTCTTTTCTGAGATACAACCAATCAGTGTTGCTTTTGTTTTTTCTCTCCCTTTATTTGTGGTTTCTGCCTTATTTTCTACATGAATTTATCTTTAATCACTTTTAATCTGAATGAATGAATGAAGATGTAGGGGGAAAAGTGAAGTTTCCACGCGCCAAGGTAAAGATTGGATGAAACAAATGCAAAAAGAAGTGGCACTGTAGCACCTTAAAAACCAAAGAGTAAAGTGACTCTCCCTATAACTCTTTATTATATTCCCTGTTCAATCCTCTGCAATAGGATCTACGAAACACTGTCAAATCCACAGGCTTTCTCTCCTCCCTCTTTGTTTTATTTTAATTTACCCAATACAATCTTTCTTCTTCTTCTTTTTAATATTTATAAATTACTTTTACGTTTATTTATAAAATAGATCATAGCCTTTGTTGGTGTAGCGGGGCCAAAGTGAAAAAAGACGGAAGCGAAGACCAAGGGGTGAAGGTAACAAAAAGATGAATAAACTAATACCCGAAGATGTTTGCCTTGCTGTTCGGTGTGGGATTTAATACGAGTACTAAGTTTGCCTTTCCATTTATAGAATTTCTTCAACCACCACAACTTTTTCAGTCTACTTCCTTCCCAAAACAACAAAAAAGTCGTGCATTCAATAAAAATATATGTTTAATATAACATTATTTCTACACCACAGATTGTTTTTTTACTTTATATACAATATGTTTTTTATCGTCTGATTCGAAGTTAAAAACATAAAATATCAGTTGTGATATATAAGATCTTAGACAAATAGAAATGTCAAATGTTAGTGTGGGTGCGATTGGGACATGACGATGGAGGCATTGGTCCCCATTTTTGTTTGATGATATTTTAAGAGAGGAAATAAAGGACAGTAAATTGGGAACTGATAAGTGTTAGATCGCTTTCATCACTCACTCTGACAAAACTACTCCTTTGGGTTTTCCCCTCTATAATACTTGGCTTGGTTTTAACCATCCCTCTCCCTCCCTCCACTCGTTATTTTCTCCTCTTTCCGGACACTTTCTATTTTTGGAATTCTATTTTTGGGTTTGTTATATACCACTCTTCTCCCCTACAGTTCTATTACCTTCCTTGGCTTTTGTTTTCATTTATTTTCTATTTCCAACATTCGTCTAACACAAAAGGAAAATTATACTAAGTTCGACAAACGTCGATGAGTACGGTTAACGATGAATATTATTAATTTAATTTATAAAATTTTAAATTTTAAAGGTTCAACATATAATTGTATATTAATTAAAAATTTAAAGGTAAATTATTTAAAATAAAAGGTAAATATACCAATGACTACCTAACTATTACCCCTTTTTATTTTTACCAATCATTTTGAAATTTTGTCACTCATGTCACCCAACTATTTAAATACATTCAATTAAACTACTTGTTAATATTTAACCGAAAAGCTTATGTGGCAGTTAAAATATTTGGTATTATTACACATTTGGTCCATGTTACTCATATATTCTATCAATCTGGTCCTAATTTTAATAAATTAAAATAAACTTAACATTCAAATCAAATGGTGCCAATGTAGTCTTTATTCGTCTTATTCTTTCAATTTGTTGGAAAACAAACAAGAAAGAAACGAGAAGAAAACTTAAAAAAAATTGATTTCGTTTTTTGAGAAATTAAAAAAAATTAAATATCAAACGCTTTGATTTCAAAAATACATTTCTATTAAGTAAAATCAAAATTTAAACTCTTAAAAAGTTAATCCAAAACAATTAGATTTTACTTATAGAGCAACGAATTAGATAAAAGTAAAGTTATAATACTTGGATAGATGAATAATAAAAAATAAATATTTTTAAACAAACAATATAAAAATAATTACAAAATAAAATAAAACATCTAATTTAAAATCCTAAAATCATTGAAAGATATAATTTAAACACGTGAATTTGTCACACTAATTGCCTTGTGTGTATCAATGTAAAATATAGTATTTTAAGCTAAAAAATAAGAACATGGAGAAATGCTGACACATTTCATCATAAAATATTGACATGATTATTTTACTTTATTATTAGATATAATAAAAGTCGATGAAGAGAAAAGAAAAATTATACTGGCTGACATTAAATTGGATTCCTCTCCAATTAATTATTTTGGCATATTTGAGGACTAAATTTATTTTAATTTATTAAAATTAGGACCAAATTGATAGAATATATAAGTAATAATGATTAAATATATATAATTATACCAAATATTTTAACTGTCACATCAATTTTTTCGTTAAATATTAACAACAAGTGCCTTTATTGAATGCATCTAAATAGTATTTGATTGACCTGATTGAAAAAATTTAAAAAATGATGGTCAAAATAAAAGGGGCATTTGTTAGGTGGTCAGTGGTATGATTTACATTTTATTTTAAATAATTTACCTTTAATTTTTCAACTAATTTAGAATTATACGTTGAGTCCTTTAGAATTTTAACGTTTTATTAAGTAATTTATCGGTACTCATCATTAATGGTGCTCATCGTTCAAGCGTGGAAGAATTATCCAATACAAAATATTTCCAACCAAATTTTGGATTTAGTCCCTTTTAATCCGATATATTATGAAAATAATAATTATTTTATAACGATATTATTTCAAAAATAAAATAAAAATCATGAATTAGAAAAACTCTTCTACTATATCGAATATTTGTGGGTATATATCATATTTGAAATTAAGGTTGTAGATGAGATTAGAAAGACCACAAGTTAATTGAGTTCGATTTGGTTAAGATTTAAAATAAATAAATTTGAATTTGACCCAAGTTTTTAATGGACAAAAACAAATTATTTGATATTCGATTTAAAATGTTCGTGAGTAGCTTCAAAAATGTTATATTAAAATTTTAAATTAAATTATTATTAATATTAATATTTAAATGTGTGTTTTTTAAAATTTTATAAAGATTTTATGTATTTATAGTTTAAGTTTAAGTTAGAGCTCAAGTTTAAATTTTAATCAAGTTAAATATGAGAATGTTTAGAATTCAATTTTTTCGAGGCCGAATCAAGCGTTAATTTTTTATTTTGAGTTTGAATAGAATTTCTCTAAACCTATCATATGACCCTATGTACATCCCACCATTCAAATTAAAACATGTGTAATAAAAATTAACTAGAAAACTAACATAGCTTTGTCGTTAGCTTTCATTTTCTTATTTTTCATTTAATGTTTTTCTTATTTTCTTTGTAAGCCAAAGTTAACTCCTCTAACACTTTAGTCCAGTCTGACCCGAAGATTTATGGATTAAGATGTCATATAATACCATCGAAATTGTTAGTCCAAAATTTCTTTTAAGATGTTGATAAAACATTTCATAAAATCCATTCCAAATAAAATAAAACATCATAATTCAAGTTTACAAAATATAGAGAGCGCCCAAATCATCCAAAATAAAACATTGAGTTCAAAATCAAAATAAATTTACATCTGAATACAAAATGGTATACAATAGTATATGCCCTCTAAATAAATCAAGACATACTCTGGTGCCTCGCCTGTGCTGGAATATCTGATGACAATAACACTCCTCAAGTAACCTCCTAAGAACCTTCGCACGGAAACACATTCCGACGTTGAACTTACAAGCTCAGTGCCTCACTGATAATTTTATTGTACTACTTGCATTCACTAAATGCTCATGCTAGGGCACAAACATAAAGACATGGAAATACTAATCTAATATGTTGAGGTAGACATCATGGTGCAACTAAGAGTTCTGCATCTCGGAGCTCACACACCCCTCTAGCCTTTCTAAAATACCCTTGGGTATTTGGGTGAGATCCAGAGTTGCATCGGAAATGTACGCTCACTAACTTACTTTGTCTAGTTTTGGG